GCCCTTCAACTCCCCCGCCATGATCCCGCTCTGGTCCATCCCCATGGCCACGGTGACGGGCAACACGCTGGTGCTCAAGCCCTCGGAGCGCGTGCCCGGCGCCTCGATGATCATCGCCGAGCTGTGCGAGCGCGCAGGCATGCCCAAGGGCGTGCTCAACGTCGTCAACGGCGCCGTCGACGTCGTCAATGGCATCTGCGACGACCCGCGCATCAAGGCCATCTCCTTTGTCGGATCCGACAAGGCTGGCGCACACATCTACCACCGCGGCACCGCCAACGGCAAGCGCGTCCAGGCCAACCTTGGCGCCAAGAACCACGCCATCCTTATGCCCGATGCCAACAAGAACTTTGCGCTCAACTCGATTGCTGGCGCTGCATTCGGTGCGGCCGGTCAGCGATGCATGGCCCTCTCGGTCGTCGTCGCCGTGGGCGAGGCGCAGTCCTGGGTGCCTGAGCTCGTCGAGCGCGCCAAGCAGCTCAAGGTCTCTGGTGGCTTCGAGGAGGGTGCTGATCTGGGCCCGCTCATCTCGCCCCAGGCGCGCGAGCGCGTGCGCAGCCTCACGGGCAGCGTCGAAGAGGAGGGCGGACGCATCCTCCTGGACGGACGCGACTTTGTCTGCAACGAGTATCCCAACGGCAACTTTGTCGGGCCCTCGGTGGTCGAGGCTGGTCCCGGCATGAAGGCGTACGACCAGGAGATCTTTGGCCCCACGCTCGTCGTCGTCAAGGCCGACACGCTCGACCAGGCGGTCGACTACATCAACAAGAACAAGTACGGCAACGGCGCCGCCATCTTCACCACCAACGGCGCCACCGCGCGCAAGTTTGAAAAGAACGTCAATGCCGGTCAGCTGGGCGTGAATGTGCCCGTGCCCGTGCCGCTGCCGATGTTCGCCTGGTCCGGCAACAAGGGTTCCGTTCTGGGCGACATTGGCTTCTACGGCAAATCGGCACTCAACTTTTACACCTCCTTCAAGACGTCTACTTCGCTCTGGAGGTCCGACGATGCCCAGATGTCCGAACGCGCCTCGGTCAACATGCCCACCATGTCCTAGCCCGCTCCACTATTGCTACACATACGAACGTGTTTTTTTTGGTAGAGAAAAGCGTGTATGGCAGTGTGGTGTCATGCAGTGGGAAGAGTGAGCGTGTGAAGCGCAACCTGATCCGTCACATAGTCCGAATCGGCGTATCCGAGCACCGAGGTGATCTGCGACGATTTCAGCCCTTTGATCCTCTCGCTCTCGATCGACGTGTAATTGGCTAGCGCTCGGCCCACCTCGATGAGCTGCCATTCCCACTCGTCGCCCTCGTCTGCACCTCCAACTCCCGCCGCAGTGTCCGCTTGAACAATACTGGCTGACGGCTCGGAGGCGAGTGGACTGGACGGAGTCGGGGCGTCTTTGCGTAGCGAGTCGATGATGGGCGGGGTCTTTGTTCCCGCTGCCCCCTCGCTGTCGGTGCGCAGAAGGTACTGTCCGAGCGACCTTGCGATGGGCGCGGAATTGGTGAGTGGGGCACCCTGTTCGAGCCCGCTCGAGTGTGGGACCGACTTGGAGATGCGGCGGCGCACGACGAGACGGATGGCCTGCATGCGTTCCCAGTTGCCCTCGACGCCCACCACACCCGCGGGCAGCAGCCGTCCGCCCGAGTCGGTGCGTGCGATGCGCTTGAACGCGCCCTCGTCAATGATCAACGCCCCTGCCGGGTGCAGCGCATGCAAGATGCTCCACTTGCGCGAAGAAAGCGGATTCGGCTTGGGCATGAAGATCGTATGTGCCGGTGCATCCAATGGCGGATACCCAATCAGCTCCTTCTCCTCCGACGCCAACGACGACACTGATGACGCCAGCGAGTCCATCTTTACCGCAACCCCCGACGACGCTTGCGAGGGAATACCCTTCTCCACCACGCGGATCATGTTCTCCGGATGCTCGCCGTTGAGGATCACCGTAGCCACACCCGCCGCAGTGGCGAGTTCGGCCGCGATGAGTTTGGTCTGCATGCCGCCCGTGCCGAAGCTCGATCCCATCGTCGCGACGGACACCGCCTTGCGTGCTGCCGCCACATCCTCGACGACTCCCAGCCGTCGCGCATTCGGATCGCTGCGCGGATTGCCCGTATACAGCCCATCGACGTCGGTGCACAGAAAGAGGTAGTCTGCATCCACCAAACCCGCCGTAATGGCCGAGAGCGTATCGTTGTCGCCGAAGCGCAGTTCAGAAACCGAGACCGTGTCGTTCTCGTTGACGATGGGGATCGCATTGAACGGTGCCGAGATGAGCGTGTTGAGCGTGGTGCGCGCGTTGTTGTAGCGCGGACGGTCTGCGATATCGTTCCTCGTAAGCAGCACCTGGGCTACCTCGATCCCGACCGTACCGAGCAGCGAGTCCCACAGCGCGATCAGCCGCAGCTGTCCCAGCGCTGCAAGAGCCTGACGTTCGCCGAGCGACTTTGGACGGTCGGTGATGTGCATGCGGATGCGACCCATCCCAATGGCACCCGAGCACACGATGACGACTTTGTGCCCCTGCGAGCGCAGCTTGTGACACGTCTCCACTAGCGAGCTCAGGATGGCGATCTTGGGCAGCTGCGTCTCCTCAGAGATGATCGATGATGTTCCGAGCTTGATCACGATCGTTTTCGACGCGGTCGATCCGGCTGCAGCAGACGACGAAGACGCCGCCGCAGCAACGTGACTGGAGCCGGTCATTCTTGAGTCCGCGAGTGTCTGCTGAATGCGTGTAGATCTAGAGATTGAGAAGCGAGTGGAGTGATGGGCGGTAAGGAGGCGAGAAGAACGTCGTGAAGCGATAAAACAAGAAGGAGGTCCGTGTGACTCGGGGGTTAAATCCCCCTTTTGAAATCAAACAATTCGCCGCTTCTTTCACCGCGCCATGTGTTCATCGACTTCAGACCCGTTCGATGTGGGCGGTGCTGTAGAAGAGATTGTGTTGCGATGCGGACTAAAAGTACAATGTGTGGGTCGCTCTTCAGACGTAAGCCTTGCCGTCACTCTGGACGACCTCTTGCAGCTTGAGGCACAGATTGAGCAGCTGCAGCTCCTCGTCGGCACCGTCGGTGAGGCACTTGTCCATCTCGGCCATCAGCAGGGCTGCCTTGGCCTTGATCATGGCGAGCAGCGTTGGATGGCCGATCACGTAGTCGTGCAGCTGCACAAGCAGCTGCGTGATCGAGTAGCCCTCTCTTGTGATCACACGCACCTCGTGGCGGATGTGATCAAAGGCGTCGCGCTTCTTGGCGCCCGCGTCCATGTCGACATCGCCGTCGCTGCCTGCATACGCCTCGATGCCTACCGCGTCGGCAAGGCTCGAGATGACACGGCTGGGCACGACGCCGGCGATCTCCACGATGGATGCCGACGTGACGGCGCTCTTGTCGTCGCCCGCCACGCTGTGCAGGCGAGAGGCGGATTGGAGATAGGTGATCGCACGACGCAGATCGCCGTCCGACGTGCCGATGAGCGTGTTGAGCACCTCGTCGTCCTCAAACGTGACCGCCTCGGTGTTTGCGATCATCTCGAGCCGCGCCTTGGTGGACGAGGTGTCGAGCGAGCGGAAGCGGAACTTGCTGCATCGCGACGCCAGCGGCTCGATGATGCGCGTCACATAGTTGCACACGAGGCAGAAGCGCGTGATGCGGCTGTACTGCTCCATGATGCGACGCAGCGCACTCTGCGCATCCTGCGTCATGCTATCCGCCTCGTCGAGGATGATGATCTTGAACGGTGGGCACGGAAACCCTTCCTTGGGATTGGTCACCGCCAGCTTGGCAAAGTTCTTGATCTTTTCGCGCACCACCGTGATGCCGCGCTCGTCCGAGGCGTTGAGCTCCAGCACACGCGTCTTCATCAGCTCGGGCCCAAACAGCTGCCGCGCGAGCGCCAGGATGGTCGACGTCTTGCCCGTGCCGGGAGGACCGTAGAAGAGCATGTGGGGAAGATTGTTGGACATGAGTGTCTTTTTGAGCACCGCGACGGTATGTTCCTGTGCCGTCACCTCGTCGATCGTCTTGGGACGGTACTTTTCCACCCACGGTCGCCTCGCCGCCTTCTCCTTGGCGAGCTTCTCCTTCTGCGCTGCCTGGCTGGCATTGTGCGCCTTGGTGCCCTGCTGCAGGAACATGGCCGAGTCGAGCTGAAGCGCACGTTGGTTTTGTGGTGGGTGTGCGAGCGGTAAGAGTGGATGCTAGGATGCGGACAACAACGCCAATAGTGCAGCAGCAGCTCGTGTTGGGCGGTTGGTAGGCTGGAGCAGCGTCTCGCACGGGTAGCTGCGCGCTGTGCTGAGTTGGTTGTGGAGCATTTCTTCCGACAAAGGAACACGCGACGCGTAAAGTCAGCAGAGCAGCTCAGCTCAGCTCACTTCGCGTCCCGCTGAAACCCGCACACCGCAACATCTAAACGCAAGGCTCTTCCGGGCTGCCTTGGAATTGGGGAACGAGCAAAGCTTCACTATCGCGCCATCACAGCATGCTGTACAGCTGAGACGGCAGCGTGTGCCTCAAAGTGTGCCGGCACGGCGTGCGGAATGAAGCGGCGTGGGTCCAAGCGGGTGATTGTGTGGAGGAGCCGAGCAGCAAAGATTAGAACACGACACGTCCTGCGTCGCGCGTGACGGCAGAAATTCAACACTTGGCTGAGAGTCCGGGAACGCCGTGAGAGCAACAGTTGGAGACGCAACCGTCTGTCAGGAAGCTGGGGACCAGCAAGAGGGCGTGAGAGCGTGTGGGGTGTAAAGTGCGCCAGAGTGGCTGCTGCCTGACGCGAAAAGTGGGAAGCGTGTGCGTGTTTCGGTCGCCACTCGAGCCTGATGAGATCCTGGATCCTTCTGCACTCCGTTCCTCTCACTTCGCCGCCTTCCTCCCGATCCCACTCGCTCGGTTCTTCTTCCATCTCTCGTCTCAAAGCAGTCACATCGATTGCGACTCGCGCATATCACACCGACGAAACCGCCAAGTGGCGCCCTCGCGGCTCAGCCGACGCGCTCACTCAGCCCGCAAGTTGCGGCTTCTTGGACGATATCCTCCTCGGCGCTTCCGAAGTGACCAACACGGTCCAGGCACACGATCCGACTCCCTCTACATCGTCAACTCTCGAGTCGTCACCGATCTGTCGGAAGTGGATTCCGAAGGATCACGCTTCTGATCCCGCTTGCATTGTTGCGCCCGCACCCGAGCGATGAGCGTTCTTGCACCGCCGCCTTCGCCGCCGCCTTCATCGTGCTTTGATGCGATGCTCTCTGACACGGACATCAACATCGACCGAGCCATGCCACCCACCAGCCTCAAGCGCAAGGCCTCCAGCACAAAGTCGCGCGCAGCGGCGTCGATCCATTCCTCGAGCAGCGACGCGGAGAACCGCCCTTTGATCCAGTCCAGCTCAGCCTCCACAATCGCAAAGCCAAAGCGTGCTGCCAAGGTCGAGGTCGCCGACATGGCGCCGTCCAAATCCGCATCGACCTCTTCTCCCGGCCCGGCTGCAAAGAAGGCCAAGCTCACCTCCTCGGCTGCGCTCGTCGAGCTCAAAAATGGCAAGCTCGTCCTCAAGCAGAAGCCGTTCAATTGGGCCAGCACCATGCCTGTTCTCAAGGCCGTCATCACCTTCCAGGAATACCTCGACGTTCACGAAAAGCTCGACAGCATCCCTCAAGACCATCTGCATGTCATCGCCAAGCTCGCCCAGGAGAGCGACAAGTCGCTCGTAGAGCTCGCCAAGGCCATTCGAAGCAAGATCCTGCCCGAGGCTGACCTCGGTTCGAGCGAGTCGGACGACTCGGCCACGTCTGGGGCAGGAGCCAAGGCCAAGCTGCCGCTCTCCTGCATTCAGGCTGCCATCAGTGCAGTAGCCGAGAGGAGAAACTACGGCATCGACGCCGCCATCGCAGCCCCACACGCGTCAGGCAGTGATGCCGCTGATGCCGTCGCTGTGCCCGCACCACTGCAGCTGTGGAGATGGGAGGCGACAGACTCGGCCATGCTCCCATCCGAATTCCTGGAGAAGCTCACACAACGCCGAAACGAGCGCGAATCGGCACGCACACAGGCAGAACAGTTGTTCAGCAGTCTCACCGAACAGGAAAGACAGGCGCTCCTTTCCAAGAGCACCAAAGCCAAGATCTCGGCCTCCATTACTGCTGACGCTCAAGGGCATGTCCCCGCGGGCTCGAGCGCTTCGCAACCAATCGCCATCGACGACGACAATGACGATGGCTCCGTGGCTGACACCGAACACGACCGCAAAGCTGCGCAGGCCCCTTCGACCCCAGTTGCCTCACGCAAGCGCAAGCCGCCCTCGTCCACTTCGACCCCGCAATCCGCTGCCAAGAGCTCGGCGATGGCCGGCGACACATCCGCCTCGGCTACATCTTCACCAAGAGAGAAGAAGAAGGCCAAGGAGACTGTAGAGCTGTCGCCCGAGAAGCAAAAGGAGAAGGAGGAGAAGGATGCTGCAAAGGCAGAGCGCCTCAAGGCGAAGGAGGCCAAGCGACTCGAACGCGAGGCCAAGGAGCTCGGAAAGCAAAAGGCAAAAGAGGCAAAGGAGGCTGAACAGAAGAAGGCCGAGGAGCTCAAGCAGCGCCAGGTCAACTTTTTCACCTCGTTCGTCAAGAAGGCCGCCCCGAAGAGCCCGTCCAAGTCGGTTGTTGCTGCTGCCGCGAGCAGCTCTGCCTCCGGGAAGCCGGCAGAAGACGTCTCCGACTTTGACCGCACCTTCTTGCCTTGCCAATACAAGGACCTGGCACCCATCAACCGCTTCGCATCGAGATCCAGCAGCAAGCCCGAGCTCGAGATGGGCCAAGACGACCTCAGCCGCGATGAAATGCTGTCGCAGTTCCTTACACGCGCATCGGCTCTGAGCGGCAATGCCGGCACACGTGCCAGGCGCCGCAAAGGTGTCCACCCGCCCGCGTCGGTACGCGAGATCAAGCGAGTCGTGACCGAGTCCGACGTGCTCGGAGGCAACGCCCAGGAGCAGGCCGAGAAGGCGCTCGAGACGCTGCAAGACCGCAGCAAGGTGCAGATGAAGCTGCTCCAGTTCGAAAGCGATCGTCGTCCGGGCTGGTACGGCACCTGGACCAAATCCACCAACCTCATCAGCCCGCGTTGTCCGCTCGGACAGGACCCGGTGTCGCTCGACTACTCGTACGACTCAGACGCCGACTGGGAGGAGCTGGGCCAGGTCGAGGGCGAAGACGTGCAGGACGGTGAAGAGGAGAAGGAGGACAGCGTCGGCGACTCGGACGAGGACTCGGAGATGGACGACTGGCTCGTCGACGACCTTGAAGTCGAGGAGGAGGAGGAGCAGGCTCGCTCTGCGGCCAACGCGATGGACGTCGACGACGAGATCGTCGAGGTCGACAACTTAGGCATGCCCGTGCCAGCCCAGCCAGTCACCACCAACCTGCTCCACCCCAAGAAGAAGAAGAAGGTCAAGCTGTTGGGACGCCGCTTCGACGCCAAGCTCGTGCCCTTCTCGACGGGTCCACACTGGGAGCGCGAGTTCGGCCGCTGCGACTACGACCTCTTCTCGTCGTACCGCATCGAGCTGCTCAACGACGCGTGCTTCGGCCTGAACCCGTTCACGTTCACATCGGCCGAGCCCGCCTCCTCCACAACCGAGCCTGACGAGGCGAGCATCGTCGATACGCCCACCAAGCCACGCCGCGGCCTCCCCGCTGGCGGCGTGCTGGCGGC